TATAGCTATACTCTCATGCACATATAGGAACAAAGAACTTGACAACAGACTATATAGAAGAAGTAGTTAAACAGCTAAACTGGATATGTGACGAGTCTGCAGATCCAGAAGAGGATCCTGGCTTGGATCTTAAAGCTAAACATGATTTCTTTATGAACATTCGTCAAAGCTTTGGTCGAACTGCTCTATTACTTAGCGGCGGTGGTACCTTAGGCATGAACCATATTGGTGTGGTTAGGACGCTTTATGAACGTAATTTATTACCTCGCATTATATCAGGTGCATCCAGTGGAAGTATCATAGCTTCCTTTATCTGTATAAAGACAGAGGATGAATTACCTTATGCATTTGACCCTGATCAATTTAAACAAGCAAGTTCTATCTTATATTCATATCATATAGCTAACCTTTTATTCAATAGGACTATTTTGAAAATAGTAGTGAGCCAGAGTCCTTTTTCACTCGTCTTCAAAGACTCTTCTCTCAAGGCCAATTTCTTGATGTTGATCGACTGCAAAGGATTCTCCGTCATTACATTGGTGAATTTACCTTTCAGGTAAACTAAAGCCACGATGGACAACAAAGTCTCATTTATTTTATAGGAAGCATTCAACCGAACAAGATGGATATTAAACATTACAGTTAGCTCATCAACAGTATATGATATGCCCCGATTACTAAATTATTTAACTGCTCCTGATGTGGTAATATCCTTTTTCTTATACACATACTTTTTACTGACGTGTTCTATTTCCTTATAGCTTATTTGGTCCGCAGTGTAAATATTATTTCGTATAATTAAACACAAGCTCACTCTCTATTTAATAGTGCTGCTTCATGTGCTATACCCGTGTTTTATGGATCCACTCAGATCTATGCAAAGGACAAGAACGGCAAGGTTGTTCCTTGGAATCCAAGTGGTAATGTAGCTATTGTACGCTCAACGCAACTAACATGTCTATGTAGAGCAACTTTATATAGATGGCTCTGTTGAAAAGTAAGCCCATAAACAGACAAGATAACATACTTATATAAACTAGTGATCTACCAATGAACAAGTTATCTGAGCTGTTTAATGTCAATCACTTTATCGTCAGCCAAGTCAATCCGCACGTCATCCCATTCCTTCAAAAGTCCAACGCTCCCTCCAAGACAAGACAGATCACTAACTTTTGTATGCATTTAGCCAAAACTGAGATCCAACATCGTTGTACACAGGCAAGTACTTGATGGGTACACAGAGCGTAACACATACTGAATTTGAATCTAGCTCACCGAGTTAGGTATCATGCCTTCTTTTTTCAACAAGATTCAGACTATCATGTCACAAAAGTATTCTGGTGACATTACTATTATACCCGAAGTAAGCTACTCTGATTTCCTCAAAGTGCTTTCGAATCCTACGACCAAATCAATCAGAGATGCTATTCTCCGCGGTGAACGAGCGACATGGCCAAGTAAAGTAAAAATGTGTATAATGGTTTACTTTTTTAACATGTCCCTTCTTTATTAGAATTGTCGATTATTAGGAACCATCTTCAAATTGAGTTGGCTATTGATCAAATCCTTTACCGACTCCGTTTGTTGAGATTAAATGAGCTTCAGAGTAACAAAATATCGCCACCACGACCCGTCATGGAGTCTAGATCTGTCTCACATCTGAGTATCACCACAACAGCCAAGATACAACAAAATGAACAAGAAAAAGAGACGGAAATGACGTGCGATAGTGAATCACAGCCGATCGTATCTGATCAAGTGTTGAAGAAGAGAGAAAGAAGTTCGACAAAGAGAGGATTAATGATGACAAGACCTAAATGATAATAAAATGCCTTTTTTTCTATTTATTGCACATCATAGTGTGGTTAATATTTACATAAACAAAAAGTGGGGGGTATGTTCTAGTATCGACAAACGCTGCCATATATTTTTTCATAGCCACTCATACGAAGAGAGGGCAAAAAGGGAGCTGAATGATGAGGAAGAGGAGGTGTGGTGGGAGTAGTAGGGGCGGTTGTTGTCGTTGTTGTTGTAGTAGTCGTTGTGGTGGTGGTGGTGGTAGCTGGTAAAAGTGGCCTAAATCCACCATTTGTTGGCTGTCTTGACATAAACGGAGGAGGTTGAGGAATATAAAAAGGAGGCATAGGATTACTGTTATTATTAGGCGTATTATTATTAGGAGCGGGTAAGACAAGTGGAGGAGGTAATGTCGTTGGCATAATTTCCTCTTTATGAATCAACGGAGATGAAGGAACGGAAACAGCTGAAGTTGGAATAAATCTGCTAGGAGAATTAGGTGTAGTAGATGTTGTTGGTGATGACTGTATCGAGCCTAATCTTTCTTTTAGTGCGTTATTTTCAGCTTGTAATTCCTACAAAAAATGTATTAGCTTCATTAAAACCAAGTGATATGCTAGGGCTACCTTGATATAGTCAAGTGACAATTTCAGGATGTTTCCCTTGTTTGGTTTTTGTCCCGGCTGTATGGCATTAGGTACTACATTGGACAGTTCATAGATCGTGTTATTAATGTTATCTCTTCTACGACGTTCAACATGATTATGGTTCTCTCTTCTTCTTTGAATTCTTTCAATGGCTGTTTTGCTATCCAGATTATTTCTGCAACAGAGCAGCGAATAAGTGACGGTGTCAATAAATAATTCAAATTATGTTACCTATTGAGAATGTTAACCCCGTTCACTCGGTAAGCTGTCTGTCGCTTTGGTTTCGCTTTTTTCTTGTTCATTTTCTGTGGTGAAAGGTCGGATGTAAAGTTGAGAAATAATGCCTGTGGTCTCTTTGTGCTATTATGATCTGTTGAATCTTGAGAGTCTTCTTCGGACTCATCCTCTTCCATATTATCTAATTGGGTTGGTGACTTTATAACATTCATAGTGGCACAGACCATGACAATTTTTAAAGGAAGGTATTGGTGTTTTAAAAAGGGGAAGGAAAAAGAGAAAAATGCTTCACATGACAATTTTTAATAGTGCTTTATATATATGTACCGAATAGATTCATATATTAGACCATGAACCGACTTTTCCCACGATTTCAGCCAATCATTTGCATTCCAAAAATTTTTTAATGTGGTCATAATGGCTCCGATTGTATCGGATAAACATTGACATTTTATCAGATTTTTTGCAGAAAAAAAACTAAAAAAAACCAAAAGAAAATAGTAAAAGCAGAAAAATATATGGATTAAATTAAAATATCACTTTGTCTCCATGACGATTATCTGATATATAGTAAAAGTAGTAATAAATATAAAGACATTGTCTGTATAAAAATACCTCATGTTGCACTAAAAAGTTTAAACCAATTGATGATCCATTTTATGATTTTGATTCGGCGAGAAATAGACAAAAAAATATACATATTTTATTTGTTTTTTATAGAAACGTTGTTCTCCTCCTACTCCTGTTTAGGTAACAATGACATGCGCACATGCATATTTATACACTTCCCCCTTTGTAGCTCTTATAGCTAATAAGTGAAAGAAAACATCTGTTATTTCTCACACATGCATCTAATCTTATCTCTTTCTATCTCTCTTGTCTTTCTATTTAACAAACAAGAATCATCCAAAAATTTTGTTTCGGAGAAATGATTTTTCTATTTTTTCATAAACAAAAAAAGGGTCCAATGGAAATACCGGATTTAAGAGGATTGCAACAAAAATTTTTGATGATTACGTACAGAAGCTACTCTTTGTCCATTACAATATAGAGTTATTCAATGTTGTCAAATCAGGCGGATTAGTTGATGAAATTGCTGAATATAAGTTAACACATAAAGTGAAAATACTTTTGTATTTGTATATTCTTCCCATGTTTACGACATTGTAAACTGGTTTTTTTTAAGTTACGGGATTCAGCCTCGACAGTTTTTTTTTTTATTTTTTTTTAGCTCCTTCAATTCTTTCAACAAATGATTACATTCTTCATACGGAGTGGTTTCTGTGCTTTTGATTTTTGCTCTGTACTCTTCAGTGAGGCGTTCAAAAAGAGGCGCGTATGGCGGTAAAGAAAAAAAAGTAGTGTAGAGCATCAGCTGTTTTATGAACTGAGGCGCAATCAGAACATCAGAAACATCATGCAATAGTTAGTATGGGTCAACCTAGCTATCTATAAGCTTAAACGAAAATAATATCAAGGCAGTGCGCTCTCAATAGATGCCTTGCTTGCAGATGCAAATAAATCATCTCTTTTTTTCACTTCATTGCGTCATACTAAGGGACTTCTAACAAGCCCACAGAAACGTTCACGATAAAAGGTGAACTCCATGTCTTACAAACCCCTAAAGCATAGCCTGAGTGGCCATGGAATTTTTAAACATAACAAACTGTGCTTGTTCATGAAGGGAAAAGCACCAATAGAAAAAAGCGCACTTTCCCGTAACTATGATCGCAAGTAGGCCAAAAAGACAGAGAAGACTGATTAGTGTGTCTAGACTATTCAGGCTTTAAATCATTATACAGTGCTCCCAAGAAGCAATGTCGCGACCAATCAAAGTCAACTTCAATATTTTACAATTTATATTAGTACAATATTTTATATGAAGATGGGTATGGAAATGGCATTGATAATAATGGTGGTTCTGAGCTCATGAACTATATTGATAAGACAATTGCTATTTATTCTGAGTATCTGAAAACTGTGGCCTTCAATGGATCTTCTCTGAGTTGCCCAATATCGATAGAAAAGCCAAAGGATGAAGATATCTGTATGAAGGAAGCTAGATTTTTCGACTGAGGATTGAAAAGTGTATGAGCGCATTAGCTGCAGCGAAGCAGTTGGGTATTCACCGTTCGAACAGCACAGCGATGGGTAAAGTAGTATAATATGTACACTGATAGCATTTTTGAGTCCTTCTGCAAAACTATTATTGAAGTGACTGAACGTTTATTGAAGTGATTCAATGATCTTAAAGTTTCACGTGGCGCTGTTAATAACTATGAAAAGCGAATGCAACCTTTCGTTGAAAAAAGCTGATTTTCATTCTAAAAAGAGAGCTGGATTGGAAAGCAACCCTTATTTGCCTTTTCTTTTCAGGACTCTTCAAATCTTTGCTGGAAATATTGTTATTTATATCGAAAGAAACAGCCCAATGCTTTCTTTTCCTCTTGGTGTTTCTGTACTTTGAAATAAAACCAAACACGGGAAAGACAGTAAAGCAGGTTAAATATAGTATTTCTTTCAAATTCATATTTATTATCCAATATAATAAAGTTTGCCTACAACACGTAAGAAAGTAATTTATAAGTATTATTTAAATCAGCCCCATAATTAGGTTTGTAAATGGGGGAATGCACATATGAACTTTCTGGCAAATTGTATGTTTCTTGACGAGTCTGCTTTTGATATAGATATGAAATGCTCAAGAGCTTGGTC